TGGTTTACCACAGTTTTGGATGATTACCCTGCAGTGACAGATATTACTAATTTTATGTGCTTTTCGGCAACCGTACGATGAAATAAGAGAAACGTTTCTAGCTGTTATTACTTTGCGCGTAGAAAAAGTGTTTGACAATACGTAAATTTATCGATATATCTGGCATTATTTTACATGCTGGATGATTTTTTTTTTACCATTTTAGAATTGATAGCCAGAGACTAAAAAGTTGTTAACTAAAGTAGATTGTATGCAGAAATGCTAGCAATTCTGGAGGCGAATAGGCAGTAAAGTGGACTGAATAAAACAATCGTAAGAGGAGTGCTTAGGGATAAAAAAACAAGCAAAAAACAAACAAATAAAAAACAAACAAACCCCCAAACATCGGGAATATAGAATTAGGCAGTTATATTTTTTGTTTCTTTTTTCTTGTTTTTTTTAAGGTTCTTTTTCTCTTCTATTAATTTTGTTTACTTTTACTCTCTCGTCTTTTCTTTCATCAAATTCCTTTTCTTCATCTATTCCTTTTACACCTTTCTCCTTCCTTTCACGTTATCGTCTTTCATTTTTTTCTTTTCTCTTCATTCTATCTTTCTCTCTTTTCCTTTTATCAATCCTCATTTAATGTATTTGTTTCTTTTTCTCTTTTTCTTTCATTTTTCTTTTCTCTTCATTCTATCCTTCTCTCTTTTCCTTTTATCAATCCTCATTTATTGTATTTGTTTCTTTTTGTTTTTCTCTTTCCTTTTTTTCTTTCCTCTTCTTCCTTCTATCGTTCTCCCCTTTCCTCTTCATTTATCGTATTTCTTGCTTTCTTTTCTTTTCTTTCTTTTGTTTTCTCTTCTCGTCTTTTCTCTTTTAATCGCCTTCCTGTTTCCTTCGTTCTTCGCCTTTAGACAGTGTGTCATAATCTAGTCTCTTCCCTTGGTTATCATTCTCTTGGGCAATCCCTATTTTATTTGATGTCGAGATGTCGCAAATTGGTTTTATGAAAGTCGTACGCCTAAGCAAAGGATCTGTAGATGAAGTTGGTAGAGAAAGCTTAAATAAAAGCATCGTCTTATACGCACTTCGTAAAGGCAACGGAGAAAGATTGACGCGAGATGTGAATGTTTTATATTTCAACACCAAAAGAAACTCCTTCAGAGTGACGTCGAGTTGAGCTGCTATAAACAGCTGTGACATATTAGTACAAAATTAAGCGATGTCTATGATAGAAATACTAAAGTTTCGGTTGGGATCGATTTACTCAAGAGGAAATGTTTGCAGGTATGTGTAAGTCGGGAGAGAATGCAGACGGCGAAAAGAATAAAAAATTGAATATAGGGAGACGTGAAGATGGAAGAGGGTGTTAGAAAAAAAAGTGGAACAATGTGGTTTGAAGAAGACAAAAAAAGAGACGAAGATTAAAAAAGAAACAAAGAAAAAGATAGAAAAAGAAAAATAAATAGTAAAAAAGATAAGTAGATGACAAAAAAAAGGAAGCAAGACGAAAAAGGGCAGCAAGGAGAGAAAAGGGGAACAAGAAGAAAAAATGGGGAGCAAAAGAAAAAGGAGAACAAGAACAGAAAAGAAGAGTAAGGAGCGAAAAGGGGAACAAGAAGAAAAGGAGAGAATGGAGAGAAAAGGGGAGGACAGGGAGAAAAGGGGAGGGAGGAGAGAAAATAGGAACGGGGAGGAAGGAGAGAAATGAGGGACAAAAAGAGAAAAAGGGAGGAAGGAGAGAAAAAGGAAACAAAAAGAGAAAAGGGGAGGAAGGAGAAAAAAGGGGAGGAAGGGGAGAAAAGGTGAGGAAGGAGAGAAAATAGGAACAATAGGAGAAACGGGGAGGGAGCAGAGAAAATAGGAACGGGGAGGAAGGAGAGAAATGAGGGACAAAAAGAAAAAAGGGAGGAAGGAGAGAAAAAGGAAACAAAAAGAGAAAAGGGGAGGAAGGAGAAAAAAGGGGAGGAAGGGGAGAAAATAGGAACAAGAAAAAAGGAGAACAAGAAGAAAAGCAGAAAGAAGGGGAGAAAAGGGGAGGAAGGGGAGAAAAGGCGAGGAAGGAGAGAAAATAGGAACAAGAGAAAAATGGAAGGAAGGAGAGAAAATTGGAACAAGAAAAAAGGGGAACAAGAAGAAAAACAGAAAGAAGGGGAGAAAAGGGGAGGAAGAAGAGAAAAGGGAAACGAAGAGAAAAAAGGGGAGCAAGAAGAAAAAGTAGAGAAAAGAGAAGGAAGGACATAAATAGGAATAAGAAGGAAAAAGGGGAACAAAATAAAAAAAAATATTGGATCAAGATGAAAAAGGGGAGAAGGAAGAAAAAGGGAAGGAAGGACAAAAAAGCGAAGAAGAAGAAAAAGGGGAGCAAAAAGAAAAAAGGGAGCAAGGATAAAAAGAGAGCAAGGGGAAAGTAGGGAATCAGAGAAGGAAAGCATGAAAAGTAAGAATAAAGAAAAGAGAGTCTAAAAAAGAAAAAAATGTTTCGCGTGAAGAAGAAAAAGAAAAAAAGTAAAGACATTAAAAAAGTGAGGAAAAGAGATTAAGGAGAGGAATATAAACGAATACAAAATCTGAAAACATTGACGAATATGAGTTCTAAGATTTTTTGAAATAAAATAGTAACGAAAATAGGAAAAAAAATACGATAAACTGATATCAGTTGTTAGGTGGTAATAATTTCAGCGCAACCAATGCAGCCATATACGAGAGTCGATTGAAACGTTCACAGACTAACCAAGTATCATATAGGAAGAAAATGAGTAACTACCGATCGTGACACTCTGGACTTATGAATATATGTTTTCCGCCAGGTGTATAAATAGCGGTGTCAGGCTACCGACTGTGGTGATCATTGAGGGACTATTGAGTGGAACTATCTAGTCGAATTAGTGTGAATTTTTGTGCGTCGATGAATTGGGTTTTCATTTAGGATTTACCGGACGTCAAGCCGAGTCGCGCTACTAACAAGGTATTCACAGAAATGGTTGACTTTTACTTCTTTGTCCTTGTTAAGTATTTATTTGTAGTTGTAATTAAATACTTTTTTATTTAACATTGAGGTGTTGAGTTATACTTAATTATTAACGGCCACCGTACGTCACAAAATCAAGATATAAATGTAAGTAGACACGCCATTTTGTAGACTAAAAGTCATACGTATGTACCAGAATGCAATGGCTGGCTGATCAGCTGTTGATTTCTGGTACACTTGCATGTCTTTTAGTCTACCAGCGAAACAGACCTGTATGATGTGAATAACATTAAAATGTTCTCGATAATTTCGGTTGAGTACGGTTGAGAGGAGGGGTAATTCTAAAGAGCAGCCGTCTCTGTTAACGCAAAGCTCTTCATTAAAATGAATCGAGCACTATGGGTATCTGGAGTTTGTTTACATTCGTAAAAATAATACGTTAGAATTTCCTTTTGTTTTTGCCGTGCGCTGATAGCTCAGGGGTAGAAACTACGACTGATGCCAAATCGGTCGGGTTTCTGATGCGATATGATACAGCAAAACAGGCCTGTATGTGAATTTTAATTATATATATATAATATATACTAACGGATTTATTACCTTTACTATATATATATATATATATATATATATATATATGCTCTCGATAATTTCGGTTGAGCACTTTTGAGAGATAGACGGTAATTCTAAACAGAAGCCGTTTCCACTAACCAAACGAAAATGAATTGAGCACTATGGCTGGCTGGCTGGTGGGTGGTTTTATATATATATATATATATATATATATATATATATTTAATCGATTATATATAGGAAAAATTGAAAAAAATACTCTGGAAATTTGAAGGTGTGTGTGTGTGAGAGAGAGAGAGAGAGAATAGGAAAAAGTGAGAACGAAGACAACTAGAGAGAGAGAGAGACGAAGAGAGAGAACAACAGAAAGTTAGAGAAAGTATGAAAAACGACGAGAAAGGAAAGAGATAACCAGAGAGAGAGAGAGAGAGAGAGAGAGAGAGAGAGAGAGAGAGAGAGAGAGAGAGAGAGAAAGAGAGAGAGAGCCAAATAGAGAGAGTATGAAAAAGAAGGAAGTACAGAGGGGGAAAGAAAGTGAATGAGATAACCAGGGAGGGAAAGGTAAAGAAAGAACCAAGCAGAGATAGAAAAAGAGAGAACCAGAAGGAGGAAAAAAGGCGAGAACCAGCGAGAGAAAGAAAGAGAGATAAGAAAGCAGAGATAGAAAAGAGGGAGCCATAAAGAGAAGGGAAAAGAGATAACCAGATAGGGAGGGAGAGAGAATGAGACAGAAAGACAGATATATATATATATATATATATATATATATATATATATATATTAAAAAGAGATAACCAAATAGAGTATGAAAAAGAACGAACCATGAAGTGAGGGCGAAAGTGAATGAGAGAAACCAGGGAAAGAAAGAAAAAGGACCAGTGAAAGAAAGAATTCGTCCCAAAAGAGAGAAAGAAAACAGTAGATCATGCACAGAAGAGATCAATATATCAGTAGCTGATTGATCGCCGTATGTTTAAATCCAAAGCGTTTGATTAATACAAGTTAAATCATGTTTGCTTTACTCCCCAAGAGAAAATCCCGTAAAACTCGATAACGAAGTCCAGACAGAATAAATAAGAAAATTGTTCAGATATATTTTTAAAAAACATTTATTAAAACATTTCATCGCGATAGAGCATTAGACTATGAGCAGACTGCAAACTTTTCATTAAGACAGTTAATTGAATCAAATAAAAAAGTTACGCTCGTCCAAATATATATTCCTTAAATAACAACGCGTCAGTGGCAGTTTTCCTAGAACCGGACCTAGTCTTGCTTTCTACGGACGAAAAAGCCATCAATAGGAAAACGCGATTTTTATTCCACAGTTTCCCCAATCACCAAAAAGGACTATCGTGTCTTTTTATTTTTGGCAGCGCATCTCGCAAGCCATTGTCCGTAATGTGAGTTCTATTCCCATAGGATGTTTTGCTGCAGTGTCCCTTTGTTCAATTTTATCTGATGCTGCATATATCTAAAATAGATACATACACTTTTCTAACCGGTGAAACTAGTTAATGTTCAAACCCAAGTTCTTTTTAAGCTTATCCCCCCAAGCAATACGGGAGTGCCACTAGCACGCAAGGGGTTACAGAGAGTGATATTAAGCGTAAAGTGGGGGTGTTTGAAGAGAAGGACGGGGATCAAGATCAACGCCTCAGACGATGTCGATTGACATTACATTTGAATATTTTATTAGTTATCGGGGAAGCAAGAAAGACGAAGGGAGGAGCATTACTTTAATCACCATAAGAAGAATAACTGTCCTGGGTATGACGATAAACTACATCCGGCAGTAAGACCTCTGGTCGGGGGCTTTTGAGGAGCGTGGAACCACCTCTTAATTGCTGTTGTTTCCGGGTTCACCCTGATCCGGGATGGTAGCATCTGTTCGAGTCCCGGCAATAGGCAAATCGATAACCTCTAAGCTAGGGTCAAAAATGCAGAAATACATTTTTATAGGGAACGTGTCAGCAATACATTTTCATATTAGAAATTGCCAGCAATACATTTTTCTAAAAAAAAAATATTACCAGCAATACTTTTTTGCAAAAGAAATTACTAATGCTCTCAAGAAAATTAAGTTTCGATATCCAGTGATCCATCAAGTGTTGATATGCCGTTAAACAAACAAAACAAACATTTCAAAAAAGAATAACGTTAAGTATGGCGCTGAGCGATCGAAGGTAATCAAGTGTAAATTTAAATGGCTAGATGTGATCTCTGGCTTCTCTCCTCCCAATGGATGTGCGTTCGAGTCTTGCGAAGGGATTATTAATTATATAAAACCAAGATGAACGAAAATACTATTAAAAAAACGTCGAAATTTATATTATGCTCGTCCGAAAAAGAAAAAAAACTTTTTAGATTGTTTACCTTGACAAATGGTTCTGTACTTGACTAAACCAAAGACACTAATTTCTAATTTGTATTCAGAATTGTCCTAACACGTCAGATTTTTTTTTTTACATTTAGTCATCTTGTTCTGTGTCTCTTCAGCATGTGGACAATCGTGGCTCTCCAGAACTTTTGCAGCTATAAGTAATGTTTGCCGTTTTACTAAGCCTCACGCTTCCTTTTCTGTCTTCTATTGAAATTAGCTCGTTAGGGAACCTCACTGCTACTTTTGTCTTCAAAATATCAGATTCTCATTATGTGTCTTAAGAATTGAAACTTTCTGATTCTAAATTCTTTAGTTTACATTTTCCTTAAAAAACCTTCTCGTTGGTAACATACACTGTGTATGATATTCAGAGCATTCTTTCATAAAACCACATCACTCTAGTCCTCAGTCTCCGAGAAAATCTTTCAGCATTTACAGACATTTAGAACTGATATCACACACCATTTTATCACGCTAGTCTTTGTTTTGCTTTGTTTAGAATTTGGAAGGCATCTATCGCTTTCGAAGGCATCTTTCGTTTTTGAAGGCAATTTTCGCCTTCGAAGACATTTTTCACTTTCGATCGCAGCTTTCGCCTTTAAAGGTATTTTTCGCTTTCGAAAGCATCTTTCGCTTTGGAAGACATTTTTCACTTTCGAAGACATCTTTCGCTTTCGAATGCAGCTTTAGCTTTCGAAGGCATCTTTCGCTTTCGAAGGCATATTTCTCATTCGAAGACATATTTACCTTTTGAAGACATCCTTCACTTTCGAAGGCATCTCTTTCTTTCGAAGGTACTTTCGCTTTCAAAGACATATTTCACTATCGAAGAAATCTTTCGCTTTCAAATACGTCTTTCGCAATCGAAGTCATCTTTCGCTTTCGAAGAGCCACTTCACTTTAGAAGGCATCTGTTGCTTTCAAAAGATCTTTCACTTTCGAAGGCACCTCTCGCTTTCAAAGCCATCTTTCACTTCCGAAGACATCTTTCGCTTTCGAAGACATCTTTTGTTTCGACGGCATTTTTCATTTTCGAAGACAACTCTGTTCCAATCCAACTTCGTATTTTGGTGCCACATTTTTCATAGTAATTCACTCCAAACCAGACTGACAGTCATACTAACACCTTCCACATCTTGTATTATTATTTCGTGTAATATACCTTCGTTATTTCTACTCTTGTGTTCGTGTTGTTCTTCCTTGGTTCTAACCTGGACCATAACAATTATATATTCATCTATATAAGATATGTATCTATATATATCCTTTTTAGTATGATAATAGTGATGTTAGCCATTTCCTTATAAGGAAATATTCGAAATTCGTTGACTCAGTCGGTTGTGATGTGTGCAATCTTTCTATTAAAACAATTTTTCAGGAAAATATGTTCCCGACGTTCAGTAAAATGTTTTTTTTTTTCAGTATTGATAGTGGTTTCCTTGCTGATCTTTTGTCTGGAATAGTGTGGATCATCTTGATTATGTTATTCCTTTTTTTTTTACATGTGATATCCATTTTAGTTGTTGTTGCTGTTGAAAGTCCTCCAGTGATTTTGGTGTTGTTATTTGGTATAGTTCTTTGAGATTCTGTA